CTGCCCCCTCCTGAGCTTTTTTACACTGATCTTTGGATTTTTGACCATTTCTCTTCACCCCCTCTTCTCTCTTCACTTCCAAGGCTACAAGAAAAGACTGTAGCACCTTCACAAAGTCCATCCACCCTTTCCGTAGCCTCCCTTCTGGCACACACACCAATTGCTTTCCACTTGGTCCAGATATGACATTTGACACCCAAATATATGTCACCAAGCCCCAAAATCAAGATATTCCATTAACTTTTATAGGGAAAATGAAGCTTACCTTGATGATCTCAACAAGCTGGTCAGTGAAAATTTAGAATTCAGAGAACATCAACATAAATTATTACAGGAACCAGACTAGAAATTTCTTTCAAAACACTAAGAAAATGCAGGATCATTCATCCAAGGCCCCGTTTGGTTTGCAGGAATAGGGGTCTGGAATCGGAATCAGAATGGGCTATTCTGATCCCAACTGTTTGGTTGGGCAGAATCGGATCCCATTCCCGTTCCTGCTGGAATGGCATTCCCCCATTTGAGGGAATGAACATTCCCTGCCCCTCCCTTGAGAATGAAATCTCATTCCTATTGATTCCAATTCCCATTCCCATTTCTGTCTGAACCAAACAGACTATGGCAATAGGCCATTCCGATTCTGAAGGATTTAGATTCCGACTGCAAACCAAACAGACCCTAAGATGTTTAGATAATTGCATACCTGGCCAAGAAGCAGTTCAACAAGAACACAGCCAGCTGACCAAATATCAATGGATGTGTATTCAGTCGCACCAAATATGAGTTATGGAGCCCTGTAGTAATGAGAGCATATGTACAATATGTTCGCTTCACCCTTGACCTGATAATATAATGCTTGATGAATACCATCAGAAGAGGGAAAATGTATTAGTAAGCAAACAGAATATGACGAACTCCAGGAAAGCACGAACAAGTGAATACCCATAATAAGATAAGTGGCCATAAAAACCCATTTGAAAATTATGCATTCAAAAAAGAGCATACTAAAAGATTCTAAGGCTTTACATCCATGTGGCAAACTCTAGGAATAGTGTGCCCTGAGCCCCCTAAGTATCTGGAATAGAAAACCCTATTGAATATCTAGAAAGGAAAAAAACAGGTGCAAAGCATTATATAATAAAAATAATCATATAGCATATTTGGTATGTATAGGCAAGTACCTATGTTTGCAGAATGTATTGGTTGAAGGAGATTTAAAAAATGTGGTGAGGTGGTTGAAATACAATTGCAATCGAACTTGGCAACATAGGTATACTATTAAGGGGAATCAAACAGCTAGCTAAGGGAATGGTTTTGGACTGGCATTGGACTTGCATACCAACAAACAAAGTAGTCAATTCCCTAGTCAGGCAGGGTTTTTGCAGGGATCATTTGTATTGGGGTGTATTGAACTAATGTAGTGTGTAAAATAGTAAATGGGGGCAAGTAGTAATTAGACTACCAAAAAAAGTTGTACTTAAATTTTTTTTACCACAATTAATAACATTTTATTGTTGTTCATCAAGAAAAGAACAAATTGATAGGAAGTGGAACTACTTCAAAACATTAGGAAGGAGCTACTTCATAGAAAAAAAAAGACAAAATAAAAGGGGTCATTGTATAGTACTTTTGAAACTTTTTTGTAACAGTAAAAAGGAAATCGGTAGTCTTTTTGCAAGACATGAACCAAAAGAGATGGATGCAAGCACTAAATAAGTTTGTTCACTTTGTTGTAGCAAATAGATTCTCTTTAGCCTTCTACAAGAATTTTTGGTACAAAATTATAAATTACTTGATAAGCATGTCTTAGGAATCAAAGATAAATGCAACTTTCATCTTCTTCGTCCCAAAAGTTCAAGGAGCCTCATCCCTAAAGTTTAAGCAGCATTTCATGTATAATTGACCATCATTGGATTTTAGTTATGTATCATAACGCACGTCTCATCAATGGAGAATACTGGGGCAAGAGACATAACAGAAATATGGTATGAATCAGTGAAGAAATTCTTAGGAACAAGAAAAAATAATTGGAAACATTGTGTTGAATTGGGCAATATATAGTACAGATTAATTATGAAGTTCTAATGGTAAAACTTAAGCAGACAATCAGGACCAATCGGTTTTACTAACTCAACTAAGGCTGAAGTGTCGGTTGCTTTCACTGGCAAATGCCATCAAATGACTAGGGGACAAGGAAGGGGATCCTTGGAGGATAAAACATTATTTGGAAGAAGCAATGGATTCCTTAGACAGCTAAAATGCAAACCTGTTTTGGGGTTCTCCCCTGCTTTATACATCCTCTCATGTACTCCCTTTTATTTTAAGGAAATCTGATTAAACTTTTCTCATAAAAAAATCGCTCATGAATAAACTACTACAATAAACAATAAAAAAATGATTCTTTGTCCCTTAATACTACAATATAGTCCTTTCATTCTTCATAGAAATTAAAATGACGTGGCATAACTCAGAATAGTTTACTGCATGACAAGTCATAGATATTCAAGTTCAACATAAAGAATGAGCTTCCACATCTTTGTAGACCAGGAGCTTTTGTTAAGGAGGAAAACCAATAACTGAAAAGTAAGATAAAGATCCAGATTTATATATCAAATTATCAACATATCAACAAAGACTGGACATCCATAACCTCCACGAGACCTTTATATGCAAACCAACTAAACTAGATATCAGCCGGGAAAAAAACAACCCAAAAAAAATAATGAAATGTTGCGGGCATCAGTAAAGAATCTGGAATCATTTGGGTCATCTTTTCCAATCAAGCAACTTCCCATTTCCCGTCAAGTGGAAGAACAATTTACATCACTTAAGCGTATATGCAACCCAAGGGCAACGTAATGATTGAGTGTGTTGGAATTGCACAACAGAAATAATGTATTCTGTACGTGTACAAAAACAAAATAAAAAGCAGATAGCAATAAARAAAGAAAGAAGAGAGAACACCAGATTTACGTGGTTTGGCCAAAATGCCTAAGTCCACGGGTAGTAACTCAGAGCTTCCTTCTTACTATAAACAGGAGAAAATACAAAGATGGTCTTACCGGAATCACACCTGTACCCGACACTCAATACTCCTCTCAACACACTGTATACACTATACACTGAAATGAAATGGAGTATATGTTATGAAATAGCATAGGAGGGACCCCTATTTATACTTGAGCTGAGGGGWATAATGGGGTTTTAAAAAAATTTCTTCATAGTTAAGCAAACCACAATCGGTGGTTTGCAAATGGTGTGCCACCGAACAGAATGGTGGGCTCAGCTCGGTGGGCCACCGATTACAAATTCGGTGAGCCACCGATTGGCCCACCCTTTTTGCTCAACATTTTCCCACTTGAGGACAATTTTCATAGTAAAAAACTCGCTCGAGAATAGWTGTCGATCATCTCTTGCTATGTGGCTTCAAGTCCCAAAGAAGTTCTGCACCAGATGAACTTCTCTCTCATCACCGACTTTGTCAATATATCAGCAACGTTGTTGTTAGTGTGGATAGAAGTGTTGAAAAGCAAAAAAGGTGGATCAATCGGTGGCTCACCAAATTTGCAATCGGTGGACCACTGAGCTGAGCCCACCATTCTGTTCAATGGCACACCATTTGCAAACCACAATCGGTGGTTTGCTTAACTATGAAGAAAATTTTTAAAACCCCATTATACCCCTCAGCTCAAGTATAAATAGGGGTCCCTCCTATGTTATTTCATAACATATACTCCATTTCATTCCAGAGTATAGTGTATACAGTGTGTTGAGAGGAGTATTGAGTTTGGGTGTATTGAGTGTCGGGTACAGGTGTGATTCCGGTAAAGCCATCTTTGTATTTTCTCCTGTTTATAGTAAGAAAGAAGCTCCGAGTTGCTGCCTGTGAACGTAGGCATTTTGGCCGAACCACGTAAATCTGGTGTTCTCTTTTCTTTCTTTCTTTATTGCTATATGCTTTTTATTTTGTTTCTATGCACGTACAGATTATATTATTTCCGCTGTGCAATTCCAACAATTGGTATCAGAGCCACACGGTTCTATTCTGGGATTCTGCCGAAATCTGTATTTGTTGTTATGATATTGCACGTGTTGAATATGGCGAGTTCAAGCTCTACTTGGTTTGACATACCGAAATTCAACGGATCCAACTATGCAATTTGGAAGCTGAAGATGCATGTTGTGTTGGAGAAAGAAGATTGTGCAATTGCCTTAAAAGGAAAAGAGAGGAAGCCTGCTGATATGAAAGACGAAGATTTTGAGAAGAAAAACCAGATAACCATGGTTGATATTCTTATTGCTTTAGAAGATTTGGTTCTATTCAACGTGTCCGAGGAAACCACTGCCATAGGTTTATGGAACAAGTTGCGGAATCTCTACGAGGGGAAATCGATGTCCAACAAAATATTTCTCTGACGACAAATCTACAATCTGAGGWTGAAGTATGGAGCCTCTTTGCAAGTACACTTGAATGAGTTCAACACTCTCRTAAGAAAATTAGCAGTTGTAGAGGTACGTATTGATGACAAAGAAAAGGTTGCTCATTTGCTTTGTTCTATGCCAGACTCTTGGGATAATTTGACAATGAATTTGAGCAATACTAAAGATTTGTCATTAGAATCTACTATTTCTATGTTGCTTACGGAAGAATCTCGTAGAAAAGTTGGTGAGAATTCTTCAGGTGACGCAATGATGGTACGAGGTAGATCGAATGAGAGAAACAACTCTATCAAAAAACAAACGAGATCCAAGTCAAGAAGCAACAAGAAAGGACTCAAGTGTTGGAATTGTGGTAAGAAGGGGCACCTTCGAAAAGACTGTTGGCAACCCAAAGCAGAGCAAAATCGACCCAACTCTGACAAAGATCCGGCTTCAAATAATTCCCAATGAAACATCGCAGAAGGAAGTGATTCATCAGAAGATGGTGAGGTAGTTGAAGATGGACAGATAATCACGAACAAAGTGGTATTATTGTACATCAATGTGTTTAGTCCGTGCATGAAAGACAGGATTTCTTGCCAAGTGTAATGCGCTTTGACTGTTACAATGAATATTCACCACTTCTTTCTTGATGTGGAATTCATCAAACAACCTCTTTAGCCAAATACTTTCTTTGCATGTTTGTGTAGCTGGCATATATTCTGCTTCTGTTGTAAATAAGGCCACTATAGATTGCAATTTTGATGCCCAACTCACTCCACCATTAGCTAAAGAAAACACATAACCAGTAGTTGATTKTTTATTATCGCGATCTCCTGTATAGTCTACATCCACATAACCAACTAGTTTTAAGCTTTGACCACTATAGCAAATGGAGATTTCAAAAGTACCCTTCAAATACCAAAGGATTCTCTTCACCACAGTCCAATGATCTCTTCCTGGATTTGCCATAAACTTACTGACTGCTCCCACTGCTTGTGCAATGTCTATTCTGGTGCACACCATGGCAAACATAAGGCTCCCTACTGCTGATGAATATGGTATTGGGACATCTCTATCTTCTCAAATTCAGTGCTAGGTGATTGTTCCGAAGACAACTTGCAACCAACAAGAAATGGGATACTAACTGGTTTGGAATTCTGCATGTTGAAGTGTCGCAAGACCCTTTGAACATAACTCTTTTGAGTTATCCAGACTTTTCTGTTCTTTCTGTCCTTATATACCGTCATCCTAAGAATCTGATTAACTGCCCCCAGATCCTTCATGTCAAACTCCCTAACTAAACGAGCTTTCAGTGTTGAGATACTTCCTTTATCAGTACCTGCAACTAACATGTCATCAACATATAACAACAAAATGATGAAGTGATCATTACCAAAGTATGTGTAGGCACAATGATTTGTTTCGCATTTGCTAAAGCCTAAGCTCACAATGAAGGAATCAAATCGCTTATACCAACACCTTGGCACCTGTTTTAGACTGTAAAGTGATTTGGTCAGCTGACAAATCAGATCATTTTTGTCGTTCTCGACAAAGCCTTCAAGTTGAGTCATATAAATCTCTTTTTCAAGATTACCATGCAAGAATGCAGTTTTAACATCTAACTGCTCCATCTCCAAGTCAAGTACTGCAGCCATACTCGATAGAATACGAATAGTACTTAATCAAATAATAGGAGAAAATATTTCGTTGAAGTCGATACCTGATTTCTGAGCATATCCTTTTACAACTAGTCGAGCTTTGTATCTTTCGATATTCCCGTTAGTGTCCTTTTTGAGTTTGTACACCCATATATACCCAATGGCCTTTCGATTCTTAGGTAGTTTGACTAAGTCCCAAGTTTATTTTTTTTCAGAGTTTCCATTTCTTCCTCCATTGCCATTTGCCAATGACAAGCATTTGGACATTTGCATGCTTACTGGTATGAATAAGGCTCGTGCTCTTCTGTAATGCAAGCGTAAGCTATTACATAATCCTGAAGCCAGATAGGAGGTCTTGTAGCTCTCCTCGATCGACCTTGATCACCGTGAGTCTCTCCTTCAAAATTGTCAACATGCTCTTCAGGTACATCAACAGTTGTATCAATTTGTTGCTCTTGAATCTTTTGAAAAGATTCTACTTCAATTTTCTCTGTTGTCTTAGAGCTTGATTCTTTTTGCATCGAATCTTCATTGAAGACAACATCTTTGCTAACAACTATCTTGTGGGCAGTAGGATCCCACAATCTGTATCCCTTTGTACCTTCTGCATAGCCAAGAAAAATACACTTTTTGGACCTTGCCTCTATCTTGGTCCTTTGCTCCTTAGGAATCCAAGCATAAACATCACAACCAAAGGTACGTAGGAAAGAATAATCAACAGGGTTCCTGACCATACCTCTTCTGGAATTTTGCAATCAAGTGCCATAGTGGGAGAATTTACTAGGTAACATGCCGTATTGACTACTTCTGCCCAAAAGTACTGCTCCAGCTTAGCTGCACTCAACATGCTTCTAGCTCGATCCATAAGTGTACGATTCATTCGTTCAGCAACTCAGTTTTGTTGTGGAGTTCGTGGAACTATATATTGTCTCAGAATGTCGTGCTCATTGCAAAAATCTTCAAATTCTTTCGAGGTATATTCTTTCCCATTRTCGGTTCTCAGACACTTAATTCTTTTCCCCTTCTGATTTTCAACTAGAACTTTGAACTTTTTGAAATAGGAAAAAATATCACTCTTCCGTTGGAATAAATATACCCATACTTTCCTGGAGAAATCATTAATAAAAGAGACAAAGTATAATGAACATCCAAAAGATTCCGTAGTAGCTTCCCACGTATCAGAGTGTATTAGATCTAATACGTCTTTACTCCTAGCTTTAGACTTGGGAAAACTAGTTTTGTGGTGTTTCCCAAAAAAACAATCTTCACAGAAATTCAAATTAGTAGATTTTAAAYCAGGAAGTAAATTTTGATCAAGAAGTACCTTAAGTCCTTGCTTGCTCATATGACCCAAACGTCTGTGCTAAATCATGACGGAATCGGTCAYAGCATTTGCAACGATGGCATCGCCGACCATGGTATCCCCGATCAAGTGGTATAACTTCCCTTGTAATTTGCCTTTTGCAATTACCATAACTCTTTTACTGATCTTCAATTGGCCCTTTTCTCCAGAAAACTTGTAACCGTCTTCATCAAACTTTTCCAATGACAGGACTCTTTCGCAGTTCAGGAACATATCGTACACCAGAGATTGTATGAGTGATGCCGTCAAACATAGTAATTCTAACGTCTCCAATTCCCACTATTTTGCATGTGCTATTATCGCCTATGTAAATAGTCCCACCATCGCACGATTGGAATGTGTAGAACCAATCTCTACATGGCGTCATATGGAAAGAAGCACCATATTCTAATATCCAGTCATGCTTTAAATTATCACAAGAATCAATAGACAGTACCTCACCATCTTCTGATGAATCACTTCCTTCTGCGATGTTTCCTTGTGAATTATTTGAAGCCGAATATTTGTTAGAGTTGGGCCGATTTTGTTCTGCTTTGGGTTGCCGACAATCTTTTCGAAGGTGCCCCTTCTTACCACAATTCCAACACTTGAGTCCTTTCTTTTTGCTTCTTGACTTGGATCTCGTTTGATTTTTGATAGAGCTGTTTCTCTCATTCGATCTACCTCATACCATCATTGCGTCACCTGAAAAATTATCACCAACTTTTCTATGAGATTCTTCCATAAGCAACATAGAAATAGTAGATTCTAACGACAGATCTTTAGTATTGTTCAAATTCATTATCAAACTATCCCAAGAGTCTGGCATAGAACAAAGCAAAAGAGCAACATTTTTTTCGTCATCAATACGTACCTCTACAGCTGCTAATTTGCCTACGAGAGTGTTGAACTCATTCAAGTGTACTTGCAAAGAGGCTCCGTCCTTCATCTTTAGATTGTAGAGTTATCGTCGGAGAAAGATTTTGTTGGACATCGATTTCCCCTCGTAGAGATTCCGCAACTTGTCCCATAAACATTTGGTAGTGGTTTCCTCAGACACGTTGAATAAAACTAAATCTTCTAAAGCAATAAGAATATCAACCATGGCTATCTGGTTTTTCTTCTCAAAATCTTCGCCTTTCATATCAGCAGGCTTCTTATCTTTTCTTTCCAAGGCAATTGCACAATCTTCTTTCTCCAACACACATGCATCTTCAGCTTCCAAATTGCATAGTTGGATCCGTTGAATTTCAGTATGTCGAACTGGGTAGAGCTTGAACTCACCATATTCAACACGTGCATTACCGGAACAGCAAATACAGATTCCGGCAGAATCCCAGAACAAAACCGTGTGGCTCTGATACCAATTGTTGGAATTGCACAGCGGAAATAATGTAATCTGTACGTGTATTGAAACAAAATAAAAAGCAGATAACAATAAAGAAAGAAAGAAGAGAGAACACCAGATTTACGTGGTTCGGCCAAAATGCCTACATCCACGGGCAACAACTCAGAGCTTCTTTCTTATTATAGACAGGAGAAAATACAAAGATGGCCTTACCGGAATCACACCTGTACCTGACACTCAATACACTCAAACTCAATACTCCTCTCAAAACAACATTGAAATGAAATGGAGTATATGTTATGAAATAACATAGGAAGAACCCCTATTTATACTTGAACTGAGGGGTATAATGGGGTTTTAAAAATTTTCTTCATAGTTCAGCGCAAATGGTGTGCCACCGTTCAATTTGGTGTGCCACCAAACAAAATGGTGGGCTCAGCTCGGTGGGCCACCGATTACAAATTCGTTTAGCCACCGACTGGCCCACCTTTTTTGCTTTTCAACGGAGTCAATAGAGTGAAATGCGATAAATGATTACTGGCCGTTAGACCTGTTCATGAGTCGGGTCGGGCTTTTACTGTGTATTAACAAATTTTTTTAAGGCCCGAAATTTAGTCTATATTATTATTATTATTAATGTTGAAGCAGCTGAATAAAGAGAGAGATAGATTRAAATTATAAAGAAAAGAATAAWATATATATATATATATTAAATTATAAATATATATTTTAATAAATATTATATTATTTATATATTTTATATAATATATAAAATACATATTATATATTTTATAAAATATATAATACTGAGTCGGGCCGAGCCGGGCTTGGGCCGGGCTTTTTTGACAAATCCCTAGCCCGGCCCGAAACACAGTCGGGCTTACTGTGTTAAGCCCAAGGTCAGGCCCGCGGGCCTAATTATATGACCAAGCCCAGCCGGGGTGCGGGCCGGGCCGTCGGGCTACCCGGCCCATGAACAGGTCTACTAGCCGTATATAGCTATGATAAAAAAACGAAAGGAAACAACTACATAGGTAGAAGGCAGCTATATACCTAAGACTAAAATCACCATTTCCAGCCATCAATTTCTCCAGACAACGAGTAGAGAACTCGAGTGACTTCTGGAATATTGCAACGATTATTGGCTCCGCATTTTCAACTGTTCGCAATGTCACAAAAAAGAAACAAGAAGGCCACACTGGAGAAAAAGAAGAATACGAAGAGTATCATAAATAATGGTAAATACTTTAATCCAATCAAAACATAGAAGTTCAAGACAAAATGACTCTTTGAAAAATCAAGGAGACGAATACAGTACCGGAAATAGATCGAGTTGCAGAAACAATTGACTTGGCAACCGATACGACCGCCTGAATCTGCAAGTGGTTCCAGGTCTCCAGCCCTAACTTTCCATCTCCGATTTCTTCAATTCCTCCTATGATGATCGAATAGAATTTCTCGAGACCTGCTCTGATCAAATCAGAGTTAGGCCTCTTTAAGAGATCTTTGGGCGCCTTCTCTTCGTGGAGAAGTTCCACGAGTTTGGCGACTTCAGCCATGACAGCCGAGCAGCAAAGCTATTGGAAGTATGTACTTGATCAACACATTCGAAGTGTGATCCCCCTTCGGAGTACAACAAGACCACAAGAGTGAAGAGTCAGAGAATAGCCGCTAATTAGAAACTTGTAGAAACGAAGATTTTTTTACGGAATCTTTAGGTACCAGAGAGAGAGATGGAGAGAGAAAGGAAGGGCTCTCTCTCTCGACTGCTCCCAGCGAGAAGCAGTACTGCAGCAGCAGCAACAGAATGCCATGAATTTAGGTGAGAAGAAGAGCCTTGAGAGTAGTAAGAACAGAGGCTGCCATTCAAGCTCAAAGGTCTCAAAGCTAAGTAGTAAGAACAGAGGCGGATCAAACATGGTCCGAAGAATCACACAGGAAAGAGTTCAAGAGAGAGGGAGGATGGGGAAAAAGAAGGAGAGAGAGATTGAGGGAAACGTGTCCTTCGCATACAATAAATGTGAAACGTGTACTTCGCATGCAAAGTAAAAGACAAATTGCACGACTTCTGTCACTCTAAACGTGTCCTTCGCATGAAACGTGTCATAAATCTACACTAACGTACAAAGGAAAGCAAGAAATCAAGAGCTTGATGAGACACGCTCAAATCTCTCGCATGTAAAGACGTTTATCTACTGGCACGTAAAGAGAAATCATCCATTCCGGTGCTAAGCAAGCGCAAGTTGTTACATGGCTTGAGTAAGGAAATTTAAGAAAATAAAGCAAATTTCAATAATTGAATGGTGGGTAATAAAATCACAATAGACCTGATGTAAGATTCATAAACCAAATTATAAGATTCAAACAAAAATGATAAGACTTGCAAAAAAAAGATTCAATGTAAGATTTAAATTAAAACTCTTGGAATTCATGTAGTAAATTGTAAAGCTCACTTTTCAAGAAAATGTTCTAAGAAAAATGACAAAATAAATAGATGGATTCGAACAATTTCAATGCCAGTTAAAAAATAAACTCCGTAAATAAGTCTGCTTATTGAAGAAACTTATTTTATCTAATATCTATGAAGAATGTAAATACTAAAAAAGGATCAAGTAATAAAAATAAAAAGAGATAAGGTTTGTATCATCCAAAAGCATTTGAATACATTTGAATACATCAGAATTTTTTTTTATGAATAAAGATAGTTTTATTACTTCAAAAGAAAAAGAAGATCTCATACAGCATCATGAGAACCTTCAAGTACATCCTTATGCAAAGTGTACACAGGAAGCCTATGGAAGCAACCATACCTTATCGTTAAGCATTTGATCAAAATTAAACGTATAATTTGTTAGCCGATTGTTCTTAGGTCAACGTATCTGTTAAAAAGCAAATTAAACAGATGTTAGAAAAAGAATAAGAATGCCTAAAGTGACCAATATATTAGAATTAAATTAACACAAAAGCATGCTCTTATTGAAGTAGTTAGAATAAAGGACAGAAATACAAAATGTTGTCATAGGACATTTCATGATATACCAAAATTGTATACTAAAATACCATAAATCTCACATTTCTTGTCAAACTTTACTTCATAATACAACATAACAGCATTTTTCCAATTTGTTATTATTATTTAGGGCTTGTTCCTTTCCCTACCAACAGAGAAACCTAAAAAAAATAAAAAGAAAAGGAAAGAGTTGAAAGGTTGAGAGAAAGAATCATGAAGACTAATACACAGCAGCAAAAAGTAGTAAGAACTTACAACTCTACTAGTAGATTGCTAGTTTTTTTACAAGTTTGTCAGCTTATTTTGCCACTTTTTGGAAATTGGAACACATGGGAGGAATAAGACCACTATCATAGATTACCCAAAAAAACGTTTTGGGTGGTTAGAGCTATTCTGAGGCCCACAACTACATGAAGAGCTTTTTCAATTATACTCTCAAGAGTAAGCAAATAGAGGGTTAAAAATTGAAAGTAAAAGAAGGGGGAAACACAGAAGCTTTCACACAATAAAATTGAAACTGTAAGAATTATCAGCCCTACTTGCATTTGGTGGAAAATAATCGGGATTAAAAGGAGAAAAAAGTTGTTGGCTCTGAAAATATCAGAAGGCTAAAGTTGTGGGGAAAAAAGATGCAAGATATTATGATGAAAGAAGCTTATATTTTACTTTACAGTGTGGACTTGCAACTTTATGCAGTTGTTTGTGGAGGATATAGAATTTTGTAGAATGCACTAAAAAAAGTGCAGCATTTTAGGATGGATGTATTCACTTGGTCTTAAGGAAAGATAACAAAATTTTATTTGGCATCCTCATCCACACTTGTATTGCACTGAGTGATCTTCCCTAAGTTATTCCAATTAGTGAATACCCACTAAAATTTGGCTCCTATTGGTGCACCATGTGCCACTTCCAAGACAAAACCAACCCAATGAAACCCACTAAACCAATTCAGCTATATGAAGTGATAAATGGTGGAGGTGGACAACTTTAATGCAATGTTTTTTAAATCTGACTGGAATATGGAACCACTTCTCCATACAGGTGGCGGGTCAGTAGTTCAATTGTATGATTCAAATGGGTCAATTCATGACATCATAAATTGAACACAAATATTATAAATAGATAAAATTACAAAAAATTATGAAAAGTTACAAAAAAGTAGAAAAAATTGGGAAACCTCTAATATTATATATTCATTATATAAACAAAAAATAAGTATGATAAATGAGAAATAATGACTACAAATAAAAAACAAAAAAAGAGAATAAATCTCTAATCCATGACCTCTGGACTGGGTCAAACAGTTCAGCAGTTCAATCAGCTGGGTCATTGACCATCAATGGTTTTTTTTTTTTTTGCATTTCAGTGGTTCATTGTGACAGAGAAATTGGTCTGGTCCAACTAGCCAATATGACCGCAGTTTGAAAATATTGCTTTAACAAGAATCACTCGCCCCCTTCCCAAAAGAAAAATGTCCAGATTCTGAAAAACTTAAACAAAGTATAAACAATAGGGCAAATTACTTGTACCTTTCCCGGGGTTTTAGTCAAATACTAATACCTACACTAGGGTTTACCTATTAACTTTATACACACCTCCACTAACCTGTTGTCAGTTTTAGTGAAGGAAATTGTTCAAATGACATTTAAAGCTTTTCAAAAGTCCATTTTAACTTACATAAAGTGGGAATGGAAAGTTAAAATAGTTTCAAGTAAAATAAAATAAAATTTTGAGATGGTAATGCTGCATTTAGTTTTATAAGTTACTTCTACCAATTTCAAAACATATAACAGGCAAAATTGCATTTTATCATCTCTTCAATTAAGAAAACCCTGTGGTTTCATGATCAAAGGGAGCATAAAATAATAGGTAAACCTGAAAGGAGGTCTTACTATCTTAGTATTTCACTGAAATCCCAAGGTAGGTAGAAGTAATTTACCCTAAATTATATTAAGTAGAAGTTGAGCTAATGTTAGCGGGATATAAATGAGCAAAATTCCAAATTAGCAACAAAAGTGGGACTTCTTGTAGAAATTTCCTGCAAGGGTGCAACTAATTTGCCACTTACACATCATAGGAAATATTTAACCAAGTCCCAAAGAGTAAAGAACAGGAAGGGATAGGAATAGAAAACTCACTTAACAGCCCCATAACCAACTTCCGTTCGAGATCCTTATCACTCCACTCTGCATCTTTACCTGGTCAAAGATGCAAAATAAACAATTGATATCATTCATCATTTTGAGTGCAGAAACGACCTGATAAATGAATTAGGAATATGCAAGAGATAAAAGCAACAGAACGCAGAGTAGACGGGTCCTTATCAGAAAGCGAAATGTTGGTACACAATCGATTTATGCAACAATTGGTTTTTCATCCTACAGACAAGGCATGAAACTTGAAAAGACGTATACAACTTTGCCTTGAAATAGCTTTTCATGAGTTCCAATATTTATGTAGAGTGACAAATACAGGACATCCGAACTGTAAAAACAAGAGTAGCAGTAGACATGGAATCAGTACCAGCTAGCAAGATTCTAGAAGAAATGCCATTACCTGTTACCACCAGGAGAAGAGTTCGATCTCCGGCACATGACACGAAGAGTGAAATAAGAAGAAGAAAAAAGACGGGGGACGAAGAAAAAAGAAAGAAAAAAAAAGGAGAGGTGGAGGGAGGAGGTAGCAGAGATGGGGGATGAAGGAGATGAGAACAGCGAGGGGCAGAGAACTATGAAAGCACCGAATTGAGTGAGGACCCAATGAAAGGGGAAGATGGCGGAGAAGAGTTCGATCTCTGGTGGTAACGAGCGCCATTACCAGTTACCATCGAGGAGAAGAGTTCAATCTCCGGCGCGTGAAAGAAGAGGGTGGGGTAGAGAACGATGAAAGCACAGAACTGAGTGGGGACACAACGAAAGGGGAAGGTGGCGGAGCAGCTAACAAAGTAGAAGAGCTCTAGAGGGATGGAGAAGTAAGCGAGAGCAATGAGAAAGTCCCTGACCTTCTGACATTGGAGAATGTTGTCGATGGTCTAGAGAAAGGAGAAAGATGAGGGGAAAGAAAATGCATGACAAGTGTGAGTTATACAAAGAAAAAATATAGAACGTGTCCATGCATTAGGGAAAGCACCTCTTCTAGAACCCAAAAGGGTTCGAAAGATTGCTCAAATCATTCGCACGTGTAAGTTTTCCGTTTTGCAAAAGAGGAAAGCACCCCTATATATATATATATATATAATTTGTTATTTCCTACATTTTTCTTCCTTTTCTTTTTCTTTCAAATCAAGCACAACCTTGGTAAAAAATTAGGTAAATCCAAAATCCAAATAGTTGTTATTCAGCTAAAAATTTGACTTTTCCGTAAAGCTTCTTTTAATAGTTTCTCCAAATGAAATCAATAGAACAATTCAACCAAAACTTCAGCCCTTTCAAACGGGCCCTACCTAGTTGGGTCGACCAGTTAGCTATGAACCATCTTATTTCCGTTAAGTGGACTTAGTGAGATATTATGGTCAATCCAAACTACAAACCAGTCATTAATGGTTTTGACTAGTCATATGTTCAAAGATTAAAAAGTGTTCTATAACATGGTTGGTTTTGTTTTCAAAAACAAAGCAATTCCACATATGCAAGATTATAGCTTTTTTGTTGATGTGGCTGTTGATTTTTTTTTTTCAAAAACAAAACCAATCAAACATCGAGATCACATTAACACCCCACATGCACATCTCAGCATGCATTGGAAATGTCTCATGTACTTGTCATTGGGAATGTCTCATCCCCTATATATACCATATATTCCAACTTGCATATGGCTCTGTATGACTCAGATTGTCAATTTAGAGGGTGTTCTTCAATATGAATTTTTTTATTATTATTTTTTTTTTGCATTATGAGTAAACCGATTTTGATGTGAAGACATACACATATATATGAGAGAGAGAGACAAAACTGAAATCATG